CAGTCTTACAGGAGAGTTTGGTTGACATTTAATACATAATTTTCTGCCTGACTCACATGTATTATCGTTATTGCCTCTACTATTCACTCTTTTCTTTCAAGTAGATTTATAGTGGCGATCACTATTCATTCAGATGATAAGAAACTAACTATAGGTGAATTATAATGAATTATAACAGAACCATTAATGAAATTCAGGTCTTAAAAGCTATTGACTAAGTTATGGGAAATATTCCTATACCTATGAAGTTTTCCATGCCAAATGGGAGTTGATTTGATCCTAATCTTTCCTTGTATATGAAGGTGCTTGCTCATACAATCAGTGGTGGAATTCAGCCAGTTCTCACAGGTTCACCTGAACCGGTAGCTAACTTTTTGTGCAATTCGGCAAACCAGATGAAAATAAAGTGCAAAAGAGTTGGTGTTTTTCTCTCTCTCCCTTCAGTTAATAGCTCTGGTCAGACAGCCAAAAACCACTTAACAGGCAAATACTTAGTTGCAATAACAAAACCGCAGGAATGCAGCGGGCACACACCTTGAATAAACAATAGAAACTGATAGGATTAGGTCAGGGTAACACCCAAGAAACCCATCAATCACCCGTCTAGTGATGGGAATAACCTCTTCCCTTCAGGAAGAAAGACAAGATTACAAACATTTTCATTATGAAGGGTATTAAGCAACACTTCTGTAATCAGCTGATACTCCCTGAAGTTCCCCAAGACCTTTTATAACTGCTGTCGTGTTGGCTACTTCTTGTTTTTTCCTAGGGGAAAAAGATACAGGATGGGACAATGATGCAGCTTGATCATACAGGCCCTGAATTTAACACATGTGTAGTCCAGCCAGCTGTACTGTTTCTTCTGTGAAGCACCCAAGTTAGAACATAGAGAACATAGAATAAGAGTTGGAGGGCACTTCAGAGGTCTTCTAAGTCCAACTCCCTGCTCCAGCAGAAGACTCTATATCATTTCAGACAAATAATTGTCCCATCACTTTTTGAAAGCTTCTAGTGATGGAGCACCCACAGCTTCTGAAGGCAAGCTATTCCATTGGTTGATTGGTCTTACTATTAGGAAATTTCTTTTAGTCCTAGGATGCTTCTCTCTTTGGTTAGTTTCCATCCATTGTTTCTTGTCGTGCTTTTTGATGCTTTGGAAAATAGATTGACCCCCTCATTTTTGTAGAAGCCCCTCAAATATTGGAACAGTGCTATTTTATTGTGAGTGGGGGAGATTTTTGGCAAAATTGATTAAACAGAAAAAAAGGGCAGGGTTGAATTTGCTTTTTAAATCCTATCAGCACTTCTCTAGATAAAAAGTGAAATATCATTGAAAAGATCACCAGTATTTTAGAGCTGGGGCAATTTTTGCACTGTCAGTTTGAAACAACCTCAAAATTTCCAACGGAAAGAGACATAAAAGAGGCATGGATGACTTTCCTAC